TGCTGCTCATGACAATTGCAATTTCTTGTCTTGGTCTTCTGATTTCAAGAGCCAGGGGTACATGGGTCATAGATATTTTTGGTTACTTCTCACTACTGAGGACTAATCCTTATCTGATTTTMAGGATGACAACAAACTGGAGAGAGCAGAAGGGTGCAGTGCAGTGCCTGTGGAAAAAGCATTTAGGATGCACACAAATCCACAGGTAACATAAAGGAAGGATAATGGCAAATGTATGAAAGACACTTCTTCTCTACCCTACATCCTGATTTCAGGTATCCTAAATTGCACTTGTAAATGCTCAGGAATGAGTAGGATGTTTATAACCTGTTTCATGTCAGTTCATTTCCCACTCAGAGAATTACTGTGGATCGAAAAACAAAGCAAGAACTGCCCTCGCCTTCAGCTGCAGCCCCATTTGCATGTGTGCCGAGAGGCTTGAGGAAAATGCTCTCCAAGCTTTCCTGCTGTGAGCAGTGGACTCAGCATCTCAACTGGCCTCTGCATTTTGATGACTCTGTTGCAAGAAGCTTTTCCTCCTGACAGACTTTGAATGCACATAAGGCTCAGTTTCAGTCTCAAGTTCCTGCAGCAGCCCAGAACTAAATTGGGAGAGGCAGGTGACCAAACATGTCTATGTGTTTAAAAAAAAAGTATTACTTAGAAGATCTAGCAAAAATGTGAACAGAGCCAAAAATATAAATAGGCTTCTGCAATTTCTGATCAGATTTAATGATGGATGTCAGCATCCAAGAGTAAAAAGTACCTTTCTCTCCCAAGACCTTCTACTTAGATATCTAAGTAGATAATGACATTATCACAAGCTAATTGCACCATTACTGAATGCCASCCTGAGTGTGCCTGCTTGGCTGGGAATTGGTAAATCTCACATTTCTACTTCTTCTTCAGACACTTCTCTCTGCAGAAAATCCTGCTATGARTCTGTCTGCCTGTTAGCTTTTGCTCTCCTTTTGCCAGGCTGAAGAAGGAGAAAATACATGCTGCTGTGGCAAACAAGAGACGGGGGAAAAAAATCAAAGGAGATGAATGAGGCTCCATCACAGTAGGAAATGTAAGAAAAGGTTAGAGATGGCACGGTGTGTAGCCTGAAGTAATCTTGTAAACTTCAGGAAACTGTCTGATTCTGCTGTCTTCCAATGACTATCTACCATCAGCCTACACAGAAAATTTCTGATAGTGATAGAACCTCAAGCTGGACCTCAGAAAATGGGTGCAACCAAGTGATTCTAAGATGTAACCCCTTAAAGTGTTTTATTCCTTAAGCACATCATCATCTTGGATCCCAGTCTTGACCTTARCTTGCACTTATACTTTAAAATTCCCCTCAATTTGCTCTGGATTGTTGTCCTGACATCAAAGCCTAAATCTGAGTGAGTTTGACATGATGTAGGCTAGGGCAAGTAGCTTAGAAATCACTTAAATATAAATATATGRCATACTGAAACCTTAATAATGAAATTGCGCTGCATAACTAAGTTTCCTTCTCAGGTAAGTTCTACAACACCATAAACATGTCATTGGTAATAGCCCCTTATAATAGAAATATCAAGAATTATTTACTTATAGTGTAATTTCAGTTCTCAAATACTTATTCAATTCATGGTTTACCTGACTAAAATATTATATTTTATTGTGCCTCCTGTTTGATGTTCGATTCAGTCTCTAAGCAGTTGTTTGAATGTGGTGGGAGCAGTGATCTCTTTGAAACTGTCAATATGCTCTTTCACCCACTAAATAAGCAAGGAATTAGTTTAACATCCAGATACAGTTGCTGATTAAACAAAATGGGCATCTTCATCTTTACACCTTTACATATCTGTTCCTGTTGCTAAAATAGGTATAAACCAGCTATCATCCTAAATGAATTTTATTCTAGACCTTTGCTCTCTAWTTCATTAGTTTATTTAAATAATGTTTGAAAAATTCAGCTTAAACTATTTGCAAATCCTTCTAACCTGGGCCCTTCATATACACACATTCCCTTTYATGTGAACAGTACTTTGTTAATGGCTCAATAATTAAGAGAGTTTACATTTTAAAGACCTCCGTTTTTAATTGGCTGAATATTAATCACAGATCACTTTCAGTTCTGTTGTGATATGCAAATTATTGATGTCTCAGCTGCATTTGTTTTCAGGTATCAGTCTAACCGCATAATGCAAAATAACATTCTGCAATTATTTCAATTAGATGCAGCCAGCCTTTGGAGCCAGCTATTTATTTCATTTCAGTAAATGAAGAAAGCAGTTGCTGTTTTCCATTCCCTGGTGTTTATTGCCCAGAACTAGCACTCACAGCCGGTATGTGTACAGCACATAAACAGTTTTCTAACTGGATCACGTTAGCATTCAAGGTAAAGGACAAGCAGTTGAACTCTCCTTGCAAGATTTCATTTGGTTAACTGACTCTCCTGCTTTGGAATGAGATGTCACCTTGTTTGGGGGTATTCATTACCATTTTAAAGTGTATTATGAAAGGCAGAGTCAATAGGAGTTCTTAATTAGCAGAATCTGTTTAGCACCAGTGCATAATATTTGAGGATTTTTTTTTYCCGTCAGACTGCAGCTGTTACCTAAGCAGAGAAGGAATTTCACCTAACCACAAAGAATGAGATAGACAAATAGCTGCGTTGTCTTAAGAACGGCTCGGGTATGTCTCCTCGCAGCGATTTCGCTCCATAATTGCAATTCACATTAAATGCAGCAAATGTTACCATCCTGCCCACTCAGTTTCCACCTCTACTTTTGTTTCAAGCCGGGAGGGGAGATCGCCGGAGAAGAGTGGGGGGAGTCCTTCCTTCCTCCCGTTCTCTGTCCTTCCCCCGCTCGGCTCTCGCAGCCGCTCTGCCCTGCGGCTCCCGGGGCCGCGCTGGCCCCGTCCCGGCCCCGGGCTGCACTTGTGGCTGCCGCGGCCGCCCATGGCAGCTCCCTCCGGCCCGGGGGGCTCCTCCCGCCCCGCACTCCCCGCCCGGGCTCCGCGGGGGCAGCGCCGCGGCTCCCCGGCCAAGGTACGGGCGGCGCGGCGCCTCCGGGCTGCGGGAGAGGCTCCGGCGGTGGCGATGCGCCGGGATTGCTGCCCCGGAGCGGCGTCTCCATCCCCGCCGGAGCAGCGCTCGGTGCGTGCCTGAGTGTGTTCTGTGTGTGTGTGTGTGTGTGTGTGTGCGGTGTGCGTGTGGCGGAGGGAGGGGAGGGGGCTCCCTGCGTGCAGGGGGTGGGCGAGAGCAGTGCGATGGGAGCGGGTGCCCGTGTGCAGAGGGATCCTCTCCCCGCATGTGTGCGGGGGACCGCGGCGGCGGGGCAGGGCTCAGCCGGGCGGCTGCTGCATGCGGCGGAGCCCGCGGGCTACCGCAGAGCCGGGCTTGCCCTCGCTCCGCTCGGCCGGGGGTGCTCGCCCCGGAGGTTGCCCGGCTGCCCCCGCCGCCCGCTGCGTGCGCGGAGCCGCCGGAGCCGCCGGAGCCGGGAGCGAGCGGGGAGAGCGGCGCAGCGCAGCCGAGCGGAGCCGCGGCGACCCCGGGCGCCGAGGTAGGGACGGTGCCGGGCTGGGCGCGGAGCCCTGGCCGGGAGCATCACCCAGGGCGGCGGGCGCCCGCCGGGCGTGTGAGTGCGGGCGGGGGTGGGGGCACGGCGGGGCCGCTCTACGGTGGCGTTTTCATTTCTTTTCATCATTCCTAAGGTTTTGTTTTTATTGCTATAATAATTAC